TAGGGCTACTTAGGCAAAAAAAGGGACTCTATTGAGGTATACATAGGGGTTATATAGGGGAATAAGATGAACGGTCCCTTCTAGGGGGCGTAAGGGCCCCTAGCAGAGGGATTCTGGAAGGCCAAGTCCGTAGAATCCTTGTTTTTGTTTCGGGGGGTTTTGGTTGGGCCCCCTATGCCTGGCTTGAGGGCCTTGGGGCTGATAAAGTTTAGGGCTTAGATGCTTATCGTTACCTTACCCGTTGGCTTTGCGGCCCTTCTAATTGTACACATGTGTCTAAAACTATAGGATTATAGGGTTCCTGCGGAACTCCCCAGATCTTCCGAGACCCCAGAATTAAGGAATATACCCCGATTTACACCAAGGATCCTTATTATGAATTATGGTATATTCCCCATTCCCAAGTACAGGGTTTTTTCCAAATCTGGGAAGGGTAACCCCTAACCCTAAACCCTAAACCCTAAACCCTAAACCCTAAACCCTAAACCCTAAACCCTGTTTATCCTGGGCTTCCCCTTCCCAACTGAGGTGACGTGATGAGCATGAAGCGCCACTTGTGTAATCAGTACGGCTACCCAATCTGCCTTCAGCAGCTCCTTCGCGGGGAGGCCTTCTTGGAGAACAGCACCCTCGGGCTCAAAGGATTTTGAAAGGGTTTAGGGTTTAGGGCTTTAGGGTTTAGGGTTTAGGGTTTAGGGTTTTAGGGTTTAGGGTTTAGGGTTTAGGGTTTAGGGCTTAGGGTGTAGGGTGTAGGGTTTAGGGTACCCCTAAAGGTTCCCTTAATATACTCCTAATATGGCCCTGATATTCTTCAAAAAGAACCCCAAACCCAAGGGTACCACCTTAGGTTGGGTCCCTTGATGGGTAGGGTTGGCGGTTTTGGGTTTAGGGGTGAGCTCGGGGGACATGCGTTGACTTGGTTTCCTCTCCTTTGTGTAAGGGAGACCGTTCATAGCTCATGTTCTATGGCTATCCCTAAACCCTAAACCCTAAACCCTAAACCCTAAACCCTAAACCCTAAACCCTAAACCCTAAACCCTAAACCGACCACGACTCAGGTACTATTCTGGATAAACCTGGGGACCTCCAGCTGGTTTTATCCTCCGCCCTCAGCCCGGAGAAGATGCCTGAGGCTGTGCAGGAGCTGATGCACGCTACAAGGTACCTGGGTCTTCTAGTTTAGGGTCTAGGGCTTAGGGTTTAGGGTTTGGGGGTTAGGGTTCAGGGTTTAGGGTTTAGGGTTTGGGGTTTGGGGTTTAGGGTTTAGGGTTAGGGTTTAGGGTTTAGGGTTTAGGGTTTAGGGTTTAGGGTTTAGGGTCATGGTACTTGCGACTTAAAGGGCTTCTAAGTGGGTTATCAGAACAGGTGTAATTGGTTACTAAGTACCCTGAACCTCCAGACACCTCCTTTTTTGGGATGCTTTGGGATTTCCAATAGGGATCCCATTACGGGATACTATAATCCCCATTAAGGACTGTGAGTTATAAGCGGAAGCATCCCAAGAAAGGGATGCTTCTATCCTACAACGCAGGGTAAAGCGAACCTACTTTGCACGGTTTGGAAGTCCTAAAACCCTAAAACCCTAAAACCCTAAACCCTAAAACCCTAAACCCTAAACCCTAAACTCTAAACCCTAAACCCTAAACCCTAAACCCTAAAACCCTAAACCCTAAACCCGAGGTCTGGCCAGGATCGCCTCGCGCAAGCTCTGCTGGATGCAGGCGTTGACAAGAACGTGCAGGACAGCAACAAGACACTAGGGTTTAGGGTTTAGGGTTTCGGGTTTAGGGTTCATGTGCAGGACAGCAACAAGACACCACTCATGGCGGCAGCCTCCTCGAAGCTTTCCTTTGTGGTAGGGTTTGGGGTTTAGGGTTTAGGGTTTAGGGTTTAGGGTTTAGGGTTTAGGGTTCAGGGTTTAGGCTTTAGGGTTTAGGGTTTAGGGTTTAGGGTTCAGGGTTCAGGGTTTAGGGTTTCGGGCTTAGGGTTCAGCATCTCAAGTCCGAGCATTCACTAGTCAAGCAGCTTGTCAAGCGTTGGAAAAAAACCCACCCACCCAAGAAACCCATAACATTTAGAACATACAAAGTTCACTCAATACATTTCCAGTAGTTAGTTTTTAACGGGCCCAAAACCCGAAATCTAATCTAAGGCCCACACTGGGCCCTTAATGCTCTTAGGGGCCACCCAGAACCGTCGATTTCAGTACTAAAAAATCGCATTTTTAATAGGGACCCGGGCCGATCCTGGGGTCCGTGTTTTTGGAGGCAAACTTTCCCTCCCAAGGGGGGGTCGGAGTTTGAGGCAAGGGGGGGGGTCTCCGAAGACTTTTTTGCTTTTAAAATTGAAAGATGCGACCCCCCCTTGACCAAAACTAGGCTGTGAAAAGGTCGTTCATCAGAACTGAGGGAAAAAATCCTGAAACACCCTGAAAAACTTTGAAAAACCTTAGGTCCCCCTCATTTGGGGTGTTTTTGGAGGCAAACTTTCCCTTTGAGAGGGGGGGTCGGAGTTGCAAGGGGGGGTCTCCGAAGACTATTTTGCCTTTAAAATTGAAAAATACGACCCCCCTTGACCAAAACTAGGTCGCGGGGGCGGCCCTTCATCAGAATTGAGGGGTAAAAACCCTGAAACATCCTGAAAAACCATTGAAAAACCTTGAAAAACACTGAAAAAACTCTGAAAAAGCATTGAAAAACCTTGAAAAACTCGGGGAAAAGGAAATTCACCATTGCCCACTTTCGAAGCCGAAACTCACCGTTGCCAACTTTTGAGGCCAGGAAAGTCACCGTTGCCCACTTTTGAGGCCAGGAAATTCACCGTTGCCCACTTTTGAGACCAGGAAAGTCACCGTTGCCCACTTTTGAGGCCAGGAAATTCACCATTGCCCACTTTTGAGGCCAGGAAATTCACCATTGCCAACTTTTGAGGCCAGGAAATTCACCATTGCCCACTTTTGAGGCCAGGAAATTCACCATTGCCCACTTTTGAATTAGGGTTTAAATTCATTATGATAGAGAGGTTTAGGGTTTAGGGTAACTAGGACCCAGAGTAGGCCCTTATCCCCTTTTTTTAAGGGGGTTTTATAGGTTCCCCTAGTAAACCCCTTTAAGACCAAAGGAGGGTACCCTCTTTTATTCCTAGGCTACTCCGGCGCCTAGGAACCACGCCAAGCTGGTGCGATTGCTACTTGAAGCCGGCGTCGAGAAGAACTTGCGAGACAACTCCGGCATGCACGCCCTCATGCATCTTACTCTTTGGTTAGTAGGGAATGGGTTTAGGGTTTAGGGTTAGGGTTTAGGGTTTAGGGTTTAGGGTTTAGGGTTTAGGGTTTAGGGTTTAGGGTTTAGGGTTTAGGGTTTAGGGTTTAGGGTTTAGGGTTTAGGGTTTAGGGTTTAGGGTTTGGTTTAGGGTTTAGGGTGTAGGGCTTAGGGTTTAGGGAAAAAGGTACCCGAATGACCCCCTACAATATACCCTTTAGGGGATTCTATAGAGTACCTCATTCCCTCATCCCCTATGAAGCAACACTAAGGCATGCCGGGAATGCCGACATCGTGGCTTTGCTGCTGGACGCTGGTGCCGACGCCAACCTACAGGACAACCAGGGCGATACCACTCTCCTGCATGCCTCCTTCCAGGGCAAGGTGGGAGTCTACGAAAATTAGAGGGCCCCTAAGAGCGACCCCAATTCGCAGGATTCCCTTATAAGGACCCCAAGCAAGGTACCCCCTACTTTCGGAAGGGAACCCTCAGGATTTTTACCCCAAGTAAGGCACCCGCACTTTCGGAACCCCCCCATGTAACATATAAACACCTGTAGAAACCCTAAATAGTTCTCATGTACCCCAAGTAAGGAAGCCCCTTACTTCGGAGACCCTAAACCCTAAACCCTAAACCCTAAACCCTAAACCCTAAAGCCCCCCCCCAGGTCAAAGTCGTCCGCGCGCTCCTGCGAGCTGGGGCTGACGTAACCTTGTCGAACCTACGGCACGCAAGCAAGCCTACTATTCGCTGAAGAAGCTCCCCCCCCCCCCGGAAAAAAATCCCGATACCCTTGTAAGAAACACAAATTACTATATTACCCTTGTAAGGAAGATTTCTTTGGGGGGGGTTTTCAGCAAGTGGTAGAAGTTAGCTACGTAGGGTTCAGGGTCATACTATAGGGGCCGGGGTGCATTTGCAGTCATATACCCCCCGTAGTTCTTAAAAGTTCTTTAACCACTGCTGCCCTGGTATAGTGTATGGGCGGTGAACCTCTTCGTGGCAGAAGAACCCTAAACCCCAAACCCCAAACCCTAAACCCTAAAGCCTAAACCCTGAGAAGTAATACTCTCGGGGGTTCCTTTGTCTGCCAAGGAATGTGCGCGGCACAACTGCACTCATGCAGGCATGTTCCTTGGCTTTCTTCTGGCTGGCTCTTCGGACTTTAACCTTTTGGGTTTTTGCGGAAACCACAACCTAGTAGTAGAGTAGGCAACCTTTTGCCTCTTCCCCCGGGCTTTCCGCCTGACTTCTGAATCTTTAATTTGTAGCATGTCTCACGCTCGACGCCGGGGACTTGCTGTGCACACATCGCGCTCTAACCTTTTCGGGGTAATATAATCCCCTGATAATCCGAAAGGTGAACCTTTAATTCCCCCCAGGTTACTGGACAACTGAGGTTTTTGTGAAAACCACAATAAGGAGGCTAACAGTTAAACTTTTCGGAGGGGTTCAGAATTCCGCCAAGGTTCCAAGGGCCGTGTCCAAGTTGTGGCTGCGTTCCTTGGGGACGAAATGAGCCCTAAAAGAATTTTATGGTTCATATACCTCAATAGGAACTATAGTAGTATTAGGGTATATGATCCCAATCTTAGGGTTCATATACCTTAAGAGGAACTATAGTAGTATTAGGGTATATGATCCCAATTTTAGGGTTCATTTGGTTCCCAAGGTTCTTGGAGGAGAATGTCGACCCAAACGAGCAGCATGCACAGGGCTGGCATGGCGCGACGGCTCTGATGGAAGCGGCGTACCAGGGCAACGCCCGAAACTGGCTGAGTGAGTACACTTTACACTTCTTGGGGGCTTCTGAACTCAGGAAAACCCTAAACCCTAAACCCTAACCCTAAGCCCTAAGCCCTAAGCCCTAAACCCTAAACCCTAAACCCCAACTAAGGGGGGCGCTTATGAACTCAGCAACTAAGGAATCGTGCGCTTGCTGCTGGGAGCTGGTGCCGACAAGAACTTGCAGGACGACTTCGGTGTCACCGCTCTCCTGTGGCTTGGTAGCCCGGGTGGGTGTAGGGTTTATAGTTTAGGGTTTAGGGTTTAGGGTTTAGGGTCTACTTGGTAGCCCGGTGGTAGCCTTTTTCCCATTTTTTGTGGTTCAAGGTTCCCCCTTCTCAAGTACCCAACCCCAAAACGGGTGCCCTTATTCTAACATGGCTACTGGGCTACCAACAGGTGGGCGTGTTCTCAGGGCCACGTCGACACCGCGCGCGTGCTGCTGGAATCGGGGGCCGACCTGGACCTGCAGACTGCTCAGGTTACCAATCTTACCAACCGGGATTCATCGCGGAGACACGCAAGCTTGTGCAAAGTGAGTGGCCTGACCGCACTCATGCATGCATCGCAGATGGGTCACGTCGAAACGGTTTCTTTGCTGCTTGGAGCGGCCGCCGACGCGAACTTGCAGGACCACTCCGGAACGAGTGCGCTGATGCATCTTGGTAGCCCAGTGGTACCCCCTTTACCCTTCTTTTGTTTTGGGTTCTGGCTTCCCTTATTATAAGATAGCCAACCCAGACAAGGGGGTGCCCTTAACTTTAATATGGCTACTGGACCCCGGACCCTAGACCCTAAACCCTTAACCCTAAACCCTAAACCCTAAACCCTAAACCCTGCAGACTTGGGCCACCAAGGCATGCGTCGCACATGGGTCACATCCACACTGTCGTCTGCTCCTGGAAGCTGAAGCCGACAAGAACTTGCAAGACCACGCCGGCACGACTGCTCCCATATCCCCCTTGGAAAAATTCTTATTCTTGCTTCTTTATATTTTTTGTTTCTATATAAACCTAAGTTATATATGAAACATATTATTTTTCATTAAGGTTCTTTTGTTATTATATAAAACCCAAGAGGATATTAACAAGTATTGTTTTTATAGGGAGAGTGGAGGCTCTCATGAGAGCAGCTCGCATGGGCCACGTCGAAGTCGTGCGCTTGCTAGTGGAGTCTTGGGAGCCCCGTGGTACTCTTTGCCCTTTTTTTTTGGGGTTTCGGGTTTAGGGTTTAGGGTTTAGGGTTTGGGGTTTGGGGTTTAGGGTTTGGGGTTTGGGGTTTGGGGTTTGGGGTTTGGGGGGGCGGGGGGGTGTTATGGGTTCCCTTCTAAAGGTAACCAACCCCCCCCCCCCCCCCCCAAAAAAAAAAAAAAAAAAAAGTGCTTGGGCTTACTAAGGAGTCTGGTGCCGACAAGAGCTTGCAGGACAACCTCGGCTTTACTGCTCTGATGTGCGCGTCGTGCGACTGCCACGCTCGGATTGCGCTCGTGCTGCTGGAAGCAGAGAACAGGCTCTGCACGGTGAGTTGAGGGGAGGCTCTTCTTTGATCCAGCCTCTACACGGTTGCGATCGGGCTTTTTGCGTGCACTGTGGGCATGTTTGGACCAAGAAACATATGGATCTTGTATCATTCTGGAGCTGTGTGATTCTCTTTCGGCTCCCCCCCCGGATTGGGGTTCTTTGCGTCCAATTTGGACCTGTGGTGCCTTTGGGCATCAAGAAACAAGTGATTTAACTTGCATCAATACGGAGCCGTACGGCTCTCAAGCTCTCAGGCCACAGACAAAACCCGAGACCATATCAACTCTGCCCCATATCCAACCCTAACCCAAAACCCTAAACCCTAAGCCCTTAAACACCGAAGCCTCTACAAGAGTCGAATATGTAGAGTATCGTGTCTTTGCCAGTTGGATCTTTTTTTTTTTGGGGGGGGGGGGGGGGGGGGCATATAGTATGCGGGCTAAGGGCTTTCTTTGTTTAGGCGCCAAGGACTATGCTGAAGAACCCTAAGCCCTAAACCCTAAACCCTAAACCCTGTGCAAGTTTGCTGTTCTATCTCGGGCCTGAGAGCACTGCACCTGGAACTTTGTTGAGTGGAAATCCCTTTGGAGGGAACGGAATTTCTTTTTTCTCGGAAAGGCAAAAAAGAAGAAGGAGGTTTCATCGCACCCGCGCCCCCATGCGAACATCAGGTTACCCAAACCCTAAACCCTAAACCCTAAGCCCTAAACCCTAAACCCTAAGCCCTAAACCCTAAACCCTAAACCCTAAACCCCATTCGGGTTTAGGGTTTCGGGTTTAGGGTTCAGAGTTCAGGGCCTTCACTCTGATGGCATTTTCTTCGATACTTACACTTGGTAGCCCCAGTGGTGGCCGATTACCCTTGTTTTGGTTCAAGGTTCCCTTACTTTGTGGTGCTTTACTGTAACTTTACATCTTTCGCCTTTTTGGGTTTGTTGGGTTTTTTTTAATAAGGCAGCTAAACGCTTTTTTTTTGCTACCCTCCTAAGTGCAGCCAAGCTTACAAACCAACCAACCCAAAAAAAGGGTGCCCTCATTAATCATATACCCTAATACTACTATAGTTCCTCTTAAGGTATACCCTAATACTACTATAGTTCCTATTATAGGATGGCTCTCCTGGGCTACCAAGAAGTAGGGCTTAGGGTTTAGGGTTTAGGGTTTAGGGTTTAGGGTTTAGGGTTTAGGGTTTAGGGTTTAGGGCTTTTCTGTACCGCCAGAACTTGGGGCTCTATGGTCACTCGGTATGCCCTTGGGACATTTCATATTTTCCCTAGCCCTGAACCCTAAACCCTAAACCCTAAACCCGAAACCCTAAACCCGAAACCCTAAACCCTAAACCATGAGAGGAGAATGTTGAGGAATATGTTTCAGAGGGTCTTGCGGGCCATCTTGGGTCAATCTTCAAAATCACGGTCCCTGCTTGGATACCCTAATTTTTTATGGGCGGCTTAGGGTTTAGGGTTTAGGGTTTAGGGTTTAGGGTTTAGGGTTTAGGGTTTAGGGTTTAGGGTTTAGGGTTTAGGGTTTAGGGTTTAGGGTTTAGGGTTTAGGGTTTAGGGTTTAGAGGGTTCAGGCCCTAAACCCCAAAACCCCCAAAAACCCTAAACCCCCCAAACCCCTAAACCCCCTAAACCCCCTAAACCCTAAGGGGTTCTTTAGGACTTGGCTGGTGCGGGCGGCCAAGGCTCTGCACGACTCGACCTAAGTTTAGCTTGGTGCTTCCTGTCACTCTTCGGTTCGGCGGTCGAGCCCAAAACCCTCAACACCCAAAAGTCTGCCCGAAACCCTAAACCCTAGCTAAACCCTAAACCCTAAACCCTAAACCCAAACCCTACACCCTAAACCCTAAACCCTAAGATCCTGAACCTTGAGAAGCTCTATGAGGCTGCCCCTTATTCCCACGTCTTGAAGCCCATGGGACCCTCAAGCGTTTACGCCCCCCAAAGCCCATCAAAGCCTAGACCTAGCAACTGTGGCATCCCTAAAGCTTCCAAAAACCCCAAAACCCCAAAACCCTATTCCCTAAACCCTAAACCCTAAACCCCAAAAACCTAAACCCTAAGACCCAAAAACCCCTAACCCTAAGATCCTAAACCTTGAGAAGCCAGCCCTCAACCGGAAACCCCAAAAAACCCCAAACGCAAGACCCGAAGATCCTGAACCTTGAGAAAGCCTAACACCCTCAACCCTAAACCCTAAACCCTAAACCCGAAACCCTAAACCCTAAACCCTAAACCCTAAACCCTAAACCCTAAACCCTAAACCCTAAACCCTAAACCCCAACACCCCTTGCGAGCCATGCCCAGCAAGGCCTGCCCTCGTGTATGTACAGGACGAGGCAGGGCCGTCTCGCATGGCGGTTCTTAGGGCGTAGGTTTAGGGTTTAGGGTTTAGGGTTTAGAGTTTAGGGTTTAGGGTTTAGGGTTTAGGGTTTAGGGTTTAGAGTTTAGGGTTTGGGGTTTGGGGTTTGGGGTTTGGGCTTAGGGGTTTCGGGGTTTAGGGTTAATGGTTTAGGGTTTGGGTTTAGGGCCTTTAGGGTTTAGGAGCCCAAACCCTGAACCTTGAACCCTAAACCCTAAACCCTAAGCCCTAAGCCCTAAACCCTAAACCCTAAACCCTAAACCCTAGAGACCCCTGAGCTGCACCGGGGTTCGTGCAGCTTGCTGCAGGCTTTGGGGGGTTTAGGGCTGAGGGCTCCCCCCCAAGCCCCAAACACCTCATTTCGATTTTTGGGGGTTAGGCTTGGGGGTTGGAGGTTTACTAGCCATCGATTTGGGATGTTTCTGAATTTCCCTTATTATTTAATATGAAGCTATACATGATTTTGGGGAGTGTTGAAATCGACACCCAGGTTTAGGGTTTAGTGTTTAGGATTTGAGGTTCAGGTTCGGATTTGAGGTTCAGGTTTGAATTTGTTGGGTTTAGTTCTTCAGGGTTGAGGGGGCTGAGTTTTCTTGGTTTTGGAGGATCTTTCAACGTTAACTCTACATTGGTCACGTTGGCGTGCACTTTCTGGGCTGATACCTGCGGATTGATTGATTAAGTGTTTACAGTTCTGGGGCATACGGCCATGAAAGTGCTCCGGGTTTAGTTCGGCTTTAGGGACATCAGGGCGCATTGTGTTGCACAGCCTTCTTGTGAAACCCCATCCCGTACTTGGAGGTTCATGGTACTTGCTATCCAAATAGTAGCTGCACTGTAAAATTATAGCCATATTTGGGCACTTAACAAGCTTCTAAGTGGGTTATAAGTACAGTTGTACTTGGTCACTAAGTACCCTGAACTTCCAAGTAAGGGGGCCACGACAGGATTTCCTTGACAAGCTTAGGTACCAGGCGGCATGACTATAGGGGCACCTACCACTGCTTGAAGCCCTACAAAACCCTACAAGCCCTAAGCCCTACCCAAAAACTCCTGTGTAGTACCTTTTTGGGGTAGCATACTAAAACCCCCTATAACTAACCCAAAAAGGAACTACATTGGAGCCTTTGGGTACACCCTAAGCCCTAAACCCGAAGCGGTAGGGTTTGTTTTTGCGGGCGTCTGAGGGGGGCCCGACCTGCTAGGGTTTAGGGTTTAGGGTTTAGGGTTTAGGGTTTAGGGTTTAGGGTTTAGGGTTTAGGGCCTAGGGCTCAGGGCTTAGGGCCTAGGGCTTAGGGCTTAGGGCTTAGGGTTTAACATTTCCCAAATTCCCCGCTGCCATATTTTGCAAGACAACTCTGCGAAGCAACAACTTAGCCCTAGAACCCTGAAGGCCCCCTCACACCCTCAAAGCCCTATGAACCTAGAATCCCAATCCCCTGCTAGGACGCAGAGTAGGCCGTCATTGCCTGTTTTTTCGGGTCTGGGTTGCCTTGTAAGCCCTTTTTAAGCAGAAAGGGCACTTTTTTTTCTAGACTACTCCTGGGTCTAGCCTAACTAACGAAATCATCATCGTTGTAAATGATGAGATCTCACGTCTGGTGTTGCAGCCTTCGCAAGCCTTACCAGACCATATCGTGCTCATGAACTATAAATCCTGAACCTCCAACCCAAACTCTATTAAACCCTGGACCTTAAACCCCAAACCCTATATGCAAACCCTAAACAACCTATAAACCCGATAAACCCTAAACACTATAAACCCGATACCGTATACACCCCCTAAGTCCTATAAACCCTAAACCTGAAACCCTTCATCCGTTTTTGTTGGTTTCTGCTTATCGGCTTGACGTTTTGTGGTGCCAGGGGCGGCTTCCTTCACATACCTTTTGCTGCAAAGGCCTTAAGCCCTCAACATACTAGACAGACCCTACAGCCCCCAAGCCCCAAAAACCCCAAAACCCCCAAACCCCAAACAATTCAAAGACTCTACACCCTAAAACACAAAATCCGAGTTCCCTGAACGCTGGAACCCCAGGAATTATGTCTAAGGTTGGAAACCATGGGGGCCCTTAGTAGGATCCCCTTGCCCTTGCTTCTTGGGATCCGAAAGATGGGATCTTATTCGGCTCTTTTTATGTAATGTATAGTGTCTACCCAAAGGCTCCAATGTAGTTCCTTTTTGGGTTAGTTATAGGGGATTTTAGTATGCTACCCCTAAAAGGTACTACACAGGAGCCTT